CTAATGGTTTCTAGAGTAACATATAAAAACAAACAATAATTTTTTTTTTTAAAGCCTCTCACTTTTGATAACATCTCAGCTTACTGAATAAAATGACAGGGAGCCTCTCCCACCACGCTGGACTCACTTCCTGGAAATGGGTGGGCAGCGACCACCGAGCTTGACTGATGGCTGTGGGACATGGCGCCCACCGCGTGTGCTTAGAGAACGGGCTTGTGTCGGAGAGACCCACACGGCTGGCCCTCACGCCAATTTGCCTTTGGACTTGAACATCACCAGGAAAGGGAGACAAAGGAGGATGAACATGATCCAGATGGAAGTGGCGAGGCAGGACTGATGAGGGAGACCGCTGAAAGTCGCTAAATTAAGGGAAAATTGAGGCCACCTGTGCAGAATCATGAGTTTTCTTACCCTCAGACTGGAGTAGGGATAGAGAAACCACTGGCCTTCGAGTCGAAAGACCCAGATTCTAGTTCCAACTCAGACCCAGACTTCTCTGAGCTGACTTTTCCTCAGTGAAATGCGCAAATGCTCATGAATGGATGCTCCAATCAACTCCGGGGATTGTGAGAAGAGGCTACGTGGTATTATTTGGAGAAATGTTTCGAATGTTCTCCCGTGCCACACTGGCGATGAGGTTCATCATGAGAAAAGGTGCCGAGTTGGGGTGTGTATTATTACTCACGACCCTTTTGTTTGTAAGTACAAACTAGCTTCAGCAAAAGAGGAATCTTTTGGTTCAAATGATGGGGTACCGTATTCATCAGAGCTAATCACAAATAGCCCATTTCTCTTTCTTCCTGGCATATGGTAAAATTGAACTTCTCTGCCATCTTTATAGTTAGGTGTGACCATGTGATTTGCCTGTCACTTCTGGGCAGCAGCTTTAAGATCATGGGTGCAATGGTCATAGCCCCCCGCCCTGCCTTGGTGATTGTGGAGGCGTGTGTTGAGATAAAGTTTCTATTATCCCAGGCCCCTTAGTGACAATGGTGAGTGGAGATCTCGCCCTTTGCCTCAACCTTCATCAGATGTATAGCATTGACAAAGAAACCTTCATTGTGTTAATAGCCATTGCAACCTTGAGATTGTTACTGCAGTATAATTTTGTATTAAGTATATATTCTATACTCTAGCATTTCGGGCTTTGACCCTGGTGAGGCTGCCCCTCCCAGGGCTGGCTGATTCCTAGAGACAGCGAATGACTCTCCTGGAGCATGCCTTTGATGTACAACCCAATCCGGACCCCACACCCCAACCATCTTTTTTCAATCAAGCTCTCACAGATCGAGGCAATATTCCCCCTTTCCCTAATAACCCTAGGGCCAGATACCAGGCAAATAGAGACCACCCCTATAGCCCAGAATTTGAATAACCAGTTATTCAAACTATCCAATGCTAAACTTACTCAGCACACCTTGCTGCCTTGACCATTCCTTCCTGCAAAACCCCCAGGAAAGGCTCAGGGCCACTCACTCCTCTCCCCATGACTGACGCTGAGCCTTCCCCAAGTGGCCTTTTGTGCCAGGTCTCCTCTTTCTAGGGGCTCTGTGAGCACGAACTTCTTCCTTCATGACAACCATTTCCATGTCTGTGTGTCTTACCGTCCCTGGTCAAAACCAATCCCAGGTATACATTTTTTTAAAAATTATTTATGTGCCTTTAGACTGCTCTTGACTTACTACCTGGATCCCGCACACAGCAGCCACTGCTTGGAAGGGCCCGGCTGGCTGTGGAGAGCTTGCTGTTGATGGCTACTGCATCGAGTTGTTTTTTTCTTAGGTGTTGCTATAAATTCCCAACTTAAAACTGTGAAGCTCAAAAAAAGCTCAGTAGTCCCTGAGCAGCCTGGTAGGATAGTGTCACGTGTCTGAGACTGAGTGCCTGGGGGCACTCAATGTATTTCTCCACATTGGTGGAACACCCAGGATCCCAGACAGAGCGCCTGGGGTTACACAGAGAATTGGCCACACCCGTTTCTCAAAAAGGTCCCTCTGAAGGAGTCAACGAGTGACTACCCTTCTAGTGCCAAGGGATAAGTCTGATCCCCTGACTGGGCAGCACTGGCAACAATGGAGCCATGTGAGTCATTTAGATGAAAGGGCCTAGTGTCTGGGTGGTTATGTGCTCCCTGGGACACTCCATAAACCACTTTTCCGTTTCTCTCTGAGCTTTGCTGAGTCCAATTTCAGCCTGTCCCTCAGAGTAATGGGAGACTGCTTGCCTGACGCTTATGCACTCATGCATTGAGGGCCATTCCCAGAGTTAGCGTGAAGGTCTCCTCAGGGGATCGTGGCTCCCCGAAAATGCTGTGTTCAGGTTGCAAACTTCTTTGCTGTTGTCTGCATGCTGCTGATGCAGTTTGTTCCCCAACCCAGTGGGATAGAAGAGGTCCCCTCCCTGGAAACTAGTGAATCAATGTTTAATGAAAAAGAAGGAGGAAAGGCTAGGCACAGTGGCTCACATCTGTAATGCCAGTACCTTGGAAAGCCAAGGTGGGAGGATTACTGGAGGCTAGAAATATGAGACCAGATTGGGCAACATAGTGAGACCCCCATTTCTACAAAAAAAAAAAAAAATCAGTCAGGTGTAGTGGTGTGCTCCTGTGTAGTCCCAGATACTCAGGAAGATGAGGCAGGAGGATTGTTTGATCCCAGGAGTTCAAGGCTGCAGTGAGCTATGATCACGCCACTGCATTCTAGCCTGGGTAACAGCCAGATCCTGTCTCTAAAAAAAAAAACCAAAAAACAAAAACAAAAAACGGGGAGCAGAGAGAAAAAGGAGCATGTGGTTCCATCTCCTCTAAGAGCCCTGAAGAGGTGGTCCTTCCCCACGTGGCCCTGCGTGGCATACCATACCTCCTGTTTCCAGGGCTCTGTAAATACGAACTTCTTCATGACAATCATTTCTGTGTCCGAGTGTCTTACCATTCCCGATTAAAACAAATCCTGGGTACACTTTAACATAAGCCTGGTCCATCCTGATGTGTACGCTGAGAGAAGAAGCGGGACTGGCAACCTCTGGGGTCTGGATGGGCTTCTTCTGAGTGGCAGGAAGATAGAACCTAGCATTCACTGTCAAGAGCCCAGAGGGAGGAGACAGTCTTCTTCTGCTGATTCCAACAGAGAAAGTCCTTAAGAAAAGCGCAAATTGGCCCAACTTAAGTCATGTACATTCATCAGACAATCTCTGTGGCACATGCATATCGATCAGGATTGAGCCAGGTGCTCACCCTTGCAGCTGGACGGGTGAAATGTGTTGAGCAGCCAGCATGGGCCCCAAAGAAACTGATCACTGCCCTTTTGTGGATGAAGCTTGGACATCCAAACCTTGCTGTACCCTAAGGAAGATACAGCTGCTTTATTACACAAAATACTACTGGGAAACCAAATAAGCATTGAATGAAAGAGCTTCCTTTGAGGTCAATAGGTAGAAGCCAGGAGGTCCTTCTGAGATAGGGTCAGGCCAACCAGAAATACGGTATCTACAAACAATCCATCATCACTAATGGTGGAAGATGAACCCCTAAAACAAACATGTGAGGTGAAGGGTAATAACCATTTGATTTTTCCAGTTACTTATCAAATGTCCTCTGTCATGCACCCACACGACTATTCAGATAGATCTGGCTAAAGGAATGTTCAGCTGCCTGGACCCCTATCCTGGGCTCCTTGCTCCAAGTTAGTTCCTTATGGAGGAACTGGGAGAACAGAGATTTGAGATCTCTGTCTACAGGTCACAGGGAGTGGAAGGAAAACAGAGGAGGATAAATTAATGACCAGGATGAACCCAACCTGAGGGTAAGTCTAGAGCTTCCCAACCTAGAAGTGGTGGGTTGGTTTCTGGTGTCCATGACCTCTTGTCATTGCATGTAAACAACTGAATGTTCATTTCCCACAGAAAGGATCCACAGCTTTCATCAGATTCTCAATGGATGTGGCGCCCAAAGGGCTGAGATCCACCATTTTGAAGGAAGACAGCTTGGCTTCCAGGAGGTTGCAGACAAAGAGCTTGGAATATTTTCCCTTGACTTTCCTAGTAGCTCACTGGGTGGGCTCAGATAAGATTTCTCATCTCTGTTTCAGTTTCAACATTTTCCAAATGGAGCCAGCCACAGACAGAACTCCATGTCCCTTGCAGAGCCCTGTGTCACACAGAGAAAGCTAGAGAAATCTGGGCCCAAGTCCTAATGAGGCCATTTACCAGCAGGTGACTAAACCTCCATGAGCTGGTTTCCCTGTTGATAAAGGGAGGATAACAACATTCACTCTCACACCAACCCTGTTATGAAACAACGAATGCACCAAGCTTTCTACTCTCACTCCCATTACTAATCAAAGCTAACATTATTGAGCCTTTCCTATTAGTCATAACGATGCTAAGAGCTTTTAGGTGTATTATATCATTTAATCTTCACAAAAGTCCTATGAAGTAGGTATTATTACTATACCCACTTAATCTTTTTTTGTTTAAAGGAGGAAGTAGGTGGGAATTGAGCCTTAGAGGTTAAGCTCCTTACCACTGAGAAGAGCTGGCGAGCGACCCTGGCTGCCTGACTCCCAAGTGTATATTCTTAACCTGAGGCTCTACCTCCTCCATCTACCCCAAATACACCACCAGAGAATCTGCTAAAACAAGTGCTCAGAGAGCAGGCTGCAAGCTGTTGCCAGGGATGATCTGGATAATGAAGAGGGAAAAGCATCCACACAAGGAGTCCCTGTGACACATGAGGGCAGTGACAGAGACAGTATCACTTGGTTAAACTCTAAGGACTGCCTTCATCATAGCTCTGGCAATAAGCACATACTGTCAGCCTTGACTCCTTCTGTTCTACATGACAGGTAAAAACCAGGAAGGTGTTGAGGTTCAGCTGCCTGATTTCATGGGTCCAGGCCTTAGCTGGGAATTAGGAAGTTGGAATCTTTAAGAACTAGACACAGCACTGGCCAAAGAAAACAACTCAGGAGAAGGACGAAAGCTATTAAGAATCACGACCTGAATCATGAAAAATGTTGAGAACTGTTTATTTTATTTCCAATTATTCCCACGTATTCACCCCAGGGTGGGTGCATTATATCAAGGGGCCCCTGGCTTTACAAAGAAGAGAATTAGCACCCATTTCAGACTCCCCACACTGAAGGGGCAGTCCAGCAAGGCCCAGGGAGCTCAGGGAATGCTCTGGACGGCTGTGCTTCAGTGGCCCTGCTTGGTGAGATTTGCCTGGCTTCTCTAACAGAGCAGAACTGCCGGCATCACACGCCTGATTCCCTCCATGTGTTCCGGGGTTGGAAATGAACTAATCAGAGCTAAGGTTGGAAATAAACTTATTAGATAAGCTCCACAATTTGGGCTGAAATTGCCCAAGCACTGATGCAGAGGCAGCTGACGAAGCAAATGTTCCCTCATACTGCCACGGCGGTAATTAAGCTGTACACAGGAGCCTTTCAACAACAGGGGCTTCTGCTCACCAGCTTCAGAAAGAGAAAACAGATAAGTGAGGAGAACAACAAGGGGCCTGGCTGCTTCCTCCCAATCCAACTGTGCCTTCTGGATGGCAGGAACCCCTCCATCCCCACCATCCTGGCTGCTGTCAGCTGCAGGGCAGCCTGCGTGTTGGGAGGTGCCTCGCTGCTCACGAGCCCCTGGGGCACGACAGTGGCCGCCAGCAGCTGGTCGGATCATTTACTGGCCACGGCAGAAAGCTGGTCTCGGATGCGGCCCAGCCCATCTAACATAGTGTCCAGCGTTTCTTTGCTCAGCTCCATGGTGATAGCTGAGATGGAAGGTTTATCTCCGCACAGACTGGGATCTTCTTGGATCTGTAAAAAGAACATGGCCTGGAAGGTCAAAGCAGCCACTCTTCCTGTCTCCCTGTAAGTGAACTGTGAACCCTACCTCAGTTCTGCTGAACCTCTGCAGAGAGGCTCTTTGCTAAGAGCTACAGAGAGTACCAGCCCGAGTCATTTAGCAACTGGGGAGAGTGAAGGAGATGCCTCGGAGGCCTGGGTCAGGTTCTATTTGCAACAAGTACCTAGGGTGGGTATCAGAGGAGGCCGGGCCAAGGCTCATCCACCTCTCTGACACCCTGTCAGCATTCAAGTTAGAAAGCATTACATGTGTTTACATCAGTTATTTTAAGAACGGGGCTCCACTGGGTACAGTCGCTCATGCCTATAATCCCAGCACTTTGGGAAGCCAAGGTGGGAGGACTGCCTGAGGCCAAGAGTTCAAGACCAGCCTGGGCAAGTGAGGTCCCATCTCTACAAAAAAATTAAAAAAAAAAAAAAAGCCAGGCATGGTGGGACACATCTGTAGTCCCAGCTACTTGGGAGGCTGGAGCAGGGGGATCACTTGAGGCCAGGAGTTCAAAGTTACAATGAGCTACAATCAGGCCACTGCACTCCAACCCGGGCAACACAGCAAGACACTGTGTCTTTAAAAAAAAGAGAAGTAGGCTCTATTGGGTACATAAGACACTCTATTGGTATGCAGAAAAAATATTACAACTTCTAGTTATATTTATTTGTATCTTTAAAAAAATTAAAATTTACTAATATTTAAAATATTCAGTTGCTAGAAGCACCCTTACTTCTTCATTTTCTTACAGGTGTTGAATTTTTTAGTGTCTTGATAAGTAGATACAGCATTACATTACTTAGTTTTAACTAAACAAATCCTACAAAATGGATATGTGGCTTTAAAAAAACTCCTGAAAAGGAACACCAATGAACCCAGGGAGCTTGAGCAAGGAAATGAGGACCTGACACTTCTCCAACTGCTAACTGAAGCTGTTGATCAAACAGTGACATAGTGACAGCCTAATCATACTGGACAAGAAGTTGGCTAAAGGGTACCAAAATTATCAAGGAGGTTATTTGAAATCTGAACATACCCCTCTATTGTTAAAGATAAACTTATAAGAGTATATGGTAACCTTTAGGTATCAGCAAATTATTTTTAAAATACTATGTTTTGCATTTGTCTTATTGTTTTAAAATTCTACTTTTAGTATTTGTTTTATTATGTCTACAATATGTTAATACACATAAGCTTTGTAAACTAACACATGCATGTAGGGGATGCTAATTTTTATTTGTTTTTAATTATTATGGGTACATAATGGTTGTATACCTTTATAGGGTACATGTGATGTTTTGATATAGGCATACAATATGAATTAATCAAGTCAAGGTAATTGGGGTATCCACCACTTCAGGAATTCAGCATTTCTTTGTGTTAGGAACATTCCAATTTTACTCTTCTAGTTATTTTAAAGTATACCTTAACTTTCTGTTGATGATAGTCACTTTGTTGTGCTATCAAATATTATTCACTCTGCCTAACTATATTTTTATACCCATTAACCGTCCCTACTTTATCCCACCCTTTCTGCCCCCCAATATATTTTTTTTCTTTAGGGGATTAGAGGTCCCCAAACCTTGGAGACTGGTATATTAGATGCCCTCCAGGCACCACATCATGGCTGCACCCTCTTTCTTTCTACTCAGCATGGCTGTGGACGTACCTTCATCTGGAGCAGGCAGGTAGGGACTGCCATGCGGCTGATGCTGTCTGAGGAGGTTTTGATATCCACTCTCCAGTCCAGGTCAACCAGGCGTGGCAGAGAGACTGTGGAGGGGGATAGCCCAGCTCAGAGCTTATGCCACCCACGTCTCCCAAGCCTTTGTCCTATGACAGGGAGCACTGAGGGCTGTACATGTATAATACATTTGATCTACGTTAGAGAGACAGAGGGGGCCCAAGATTCACAGCAAGTCACAGGCCTTACTCATTGCTCTGTGCCACCTGCACCTAGCACTGATCACCTGTGGCAGCACCTCCAGGCTTCCGCCTGAACACCCAGCCCTTGAGATGTCAGGACAGAATGAGAAGTGACACAAGGCAGAGAAGTAGACATGGCCTAAGGCTTAGGAAACACGTAGCTTTAGCAACAGTGGTAAGACTGCTTGTTTCAGAGATAAAGAGCACTTGTTTCAGAGATAAACAGTTCTACCACTTGTCTAACCTCTGAGCCTCTCTTTGCTCATCTGGAAAATGGGAAAACTCTCAGCCTAGCTCACAAGGATATTGGGAGGATGAAATGAGCTAACACAGACAAACTACTCCAGCACTGTGACTGGCTCAGAGTAAGTGTAATGACCCTTTATTAAACTATACTTTTATTCAGTCTTTCAAACTGATTTCAATTACTGTTAATTTTTTCCCCAATTGAAATATAATTATTATAAGTACTTTACTTTCTGCTTTGGCTACTGCTGTATTTTTTTTTTTAACAACATGCCTATATAATAATGTTTATAATCAGAAAAAAAAGCAAAAAGTGGAATTAAAAAGAAACAATGCAACACACAGAGTTTGGATTGGGAATGGATACACTATGGTTTTTGTCAAAATCTCTGGTCACCTGGCAGACTTAGAGCTGGGGCTCGGGGACAAGGGAAGGAGGGGGGGCAGATTTCTTGGTACTCACTCTGGTTTGCTTGGGCTTCAGCTCTCCAAGTAGATCTGTTTAAGAGGGAAAGATGAGGAAAAAATAATGGGAAAAGGATGAGACTGAGTCCTCTGGTAATGAGAGAGGCATCTAGACCCGGGTCCTTCCTGTGATCTTCATACCTGTAATCACTTAATACCTGGAAAGGACTGAAGAAAATCCTCCCTCCAAGAAGCAATCTTTTGTTTATTTGTTTTATAAAGCTTGGTGATGTTAGGCCATAACTGTAAGTGTTAGTCTCTTTTCATAGTTTAGGACAAAAAAGAAGAAAAGGCTTAATGCACTGTAATCTTATTGTGCTACTGCTCTCAAGAACAAAACAGAGAACGGGTCTGCTTATCCTCTTTACTGAGTACCTACCACACAAAGTAGTGCATTTTCTGCAAAAACATATCCAAACAGACCTGTCTAATGCTATAGCAAATGGAATAAAATGTGGTCATGGATGAGAAAGTTCTTAATAAACAATGAAACCTTTGGTAAATAGGAATTGCCGGTTATTGCTATTAGAGAGGTCTATTCAATCCTTCTGCTAACCAACAATATAATTCTGCTATTATTAATAAATTCTGCTTAAATTACATGTGTTTAAAAGAATCTGCTCAGCCAAGAAAATATACATATAATTTACAAACGAAATAAAAATGATCAATAAACATATGAAAAATAAATTCAACATCACTAATGTCAAAGATACGTAAATTGAAATGAGGTACCATTTGCCATTAGTGGAGCTCAGAAAAAAATGTAAGAAAGAAATCTCCTCATATGGGGAGAGGGGCACACTTGTGTCCTACTGGTGGAAAAATAGTTGGTGCAATCTTTCTGATGGCCAACTTGATAATATAAGGCCAAAGGCTTCAATATGTCCATCACCTTTAACCCAATAAGGAAATAATTAAGCATATGACCAGGATTTCATTATAAATTGTTCACTGAAATAAAATAACTGCCAATAACCTAATGCCCAACACTAGGAATTTTAAAATTACATTACATGTAATTTCTTCACATAATAAAATATATTTAACCATTACAACGACACTGAAGGTAAACACTGACCTGAGATGTCACTATTGCTAATACTGTTAACTGAAAATGAGCAAGTTATAGAATGGCAGGATTTCACTTTGTTAAAAAACAAAAGCAAAACATCAACATCTGTCTATACGTATTAAGAGAAAAAAACTAGTAAGTCCTAGTAAGTATTAAGGAATTAATACTGCTAACCTCTGGTTGGTAGGGGTCTTTTTGCTTATCTGTGTTTTCTGATTTTTCAACAATTAACATATTACTTCTAGAATACTAATAAAAATAATGAAAGATATAAATGTTAGAAGGAACTCTCAAGAAAAGAGCACTTACATGTGTTCTAGGATGATTTTTGTCAGCAGGTTTTTGAGGTTTTGGTGGAAGTTTTCTGGAAACAGAGCCAGAACCGCCTCGGCGGAGGACAGGTCACGGAACGCCACCAGCCTGGTGAGGCGGTGCAGAGCCTGGAGCAGCTGCAAGACAGACAGGCCACCCTGCAGCTGCAGGAGAAGCAGAGGGAGGGGGCACGAGACAGGGGCCGGCGGGAGGGCTCTACAACCCCCTACCCCGACTGCTGCACACTGCCACAGTCATTCCACCGAGTCACGTGAGTCCAGAGGCCTCTGTGGCACATGCTGATGCACCACCTGCCCTGGCCTGCCTCTGAGTTCACCTGTGGCTTTAGAAGACAGGTGCAGCTGCCTGACCTAGAAAGCTGTCAGCATGCCAGAACTCTCTACTACTTGTGGGCAAAGCGTTAATATGTTCCTTTTCCTTCTGCATGAGAATCTGACCTTCAGTTAACTTTCTAGTGCAGTTGCCCTGGTAACCTGAGAGCAGCAGAAAGTCAGCTGTGTTACTAGGCAACACTGCATTGGTCCGAAGCCTCCGGACTGAGAGGACTGCATAAACACCTGGGGACATGAAGCTTCGGGCTGCCCTGAATGTGGCTGCAGGCTCCTTGCGAGAACCTAAAGCTGTGCTTACTGAACTGTGACAAGAGATACTGGCTCCTGTGGAGTGCGGGCTTTGAATCCAGGCTGGTAGGAGTCTCATGTCCTTGCTCGTAAGCTGTCATCTGAGAGGGCAAAGAGAAAAGCTTCTGACCGCTGTGTGGACTCCTCCTGTGGAAGAGGAGTGTCTGACCCTGCCCTGCTAAAATGGTGTGTTCCCATCCTATGTCCTTCTGAGTGAATCTGTAGCTTAGAAGTGTGGCTTATGGTAGTCTTGTAAATAGAATAACACTTAGCTGAACCTCAGAAAACTCTCTGGAGCTAACTGTTTGTCTCCTTTAGGGCTTTCTCTGATACCACTGGAGGCTGCTTGACTACAGAGAGATATGAGGGGAGTAAGTGAGGGGAAGTGAGTAAGAGAGGGGAAGTGAACCCTCCATCAGCGAGGGGTTAGTGGATAAATGCCCCAGCCTCCTTGCCCTCCAGGGGAACAATTCTGACATGTGTTCTACTTGGTTTCTTACAGGATCCCAAGATTGAGACTCTATTTTCCATAGCAGCAACCGCTCACTAACACACTCTTTTATTGCCTTGCCTTGCTCCCTGTTTGATTGTCCTCACTCCCTCTTTGTGCTTTCTAGAATCACCTCCCAAATAACCACCCAAGTTCTTGACTCAAAGTCTACTTTTAGGGGAAGCCAAATCAGTCTATAACTCACTTGTATAATCCTGCTTCTGTCTTTTACTTTTCTACAGCTGATTTCAATAAACAAAGCTCCAAATTAAAAAAAAATAGTAACAACATAGGCCCATTTGGATGAAGAAACTCATGTTTTAGAAACGTATTTGCCTTGGAAAGATAAGGCTGTCACTGCTACGTAACTAAGAGTCACCTTACTCTTCTTCTTGGCCACCTGCTGAGATCAGATGAGTTGAGAAGGGGACTTTCTGTGGGGCAGAGGGATGTGAGGGAGAGAACCTGATGCATCCCAGCGGTACACACTTCCTAACCTTACTCAGGTCTCCAAGCTTCTGCCCAAAGATGCCTGAAAAGGCTGCCCCACACTGTCCAGCTGACAATTTATTAGCATTGGCACATTACAGGTTGGAAAAGAAAACCACAAAAAGGTTGGCTTTTGTCTACATTGTCTGGGTAATTAAGTCCAAGAAGAAAATGGTCAGAAGCTCTGATCCTGGTACAGTTCTCCCATCCTTGTCTTTCTATCAAAGGAAGGCTAGTACAGAGATAATGGCTTTTAGGTTCACTAACATTAAAACAATCATTCTAAGTTTGCTATTATGTCAACAGAGGTTTCAGAGGAAAATTTTCCTTGGACTTGGCAATGACTGAGAAGTCGAGAAAGAGACTAACAAGAGGGCCAGTGGCCAAAGGTCACTTCTGACCATACTTACTTGTTCTGCCTCTTCCTGGGTCACGGACAAGCTGGAACACGTAATATCCAAGAGTTTTTTTGAGCCAAGGGCTGAACTGGAAAAGCTCTCTTGACACAGCTGTCTGACAACATCTTTTGAGGAGGCCTACAAATTAATTCACAGATGGGAAAAAAAACTCACTCAGACTCTGAAAATACATATTTCTGAATAATATTGTCTTAGTCATTGTATGACATCTTTGAGACTTAAAATATAAAGGTATATAAATCATTTCCATTTCTAAGAAGATCAAGTAGATGTACTTGTCCCTATTCTTTCTACTAAGTATAAATAAAAATTCTGGACACTATATAGAAACAAACATAAGTCAACTCTGGAAGGCAGAGAGAAGAAGGCATATCTGCTAGGGACCTTGTAACCCAGGAATGACATGATAGTAAGTTCCCTGTGCTTTCCTTTTTGCCCGCCCGCCCGCCCTTTGTAGACAGTCTTGTTTTGTTGCCTGGGCTAGAGTGCCATGGCATCAACCCAGCTCACAGCAACTTCGAACTCCTGTCTCAGCCTCCTAAGTAGCTGGGACTATAGGCACGTGCCACCATGCCCGGCTAATTTTTTTTTTCTATTTCTAGTAGGGTCTCAGGCTGGTCTTGAACTCCTGAGCTCAAGCAGTCCTCCCACCTCAGCCTCCCAGAGTGCTAGGATTACAGGCGTGAGCCATGGCACCCAGCCCCTTTTTGCCTCTTATATCCCAGACTTTGAGCTGAATAAGAGGGCAAGCTGGAAATAACAATGGATGCAGAAAAGAAAAGCCCCAACAAATCCCTGCTCTCTCCAGCCAAAGGAATAAGAAAGGAACAGCCTAGCAAGAGAGAAAACTTTTGGACAATAACTGCTCTACTCTAGCCAAATATCACAGAAAGAACTGTCACCGCATGCCCACCTATGTCAACAAAGGCTGAGTGGGAAGCCTAGACTTGAGTGAGAAGCCTTATGAAGCTATAATGAGGTACCCAACACCCTCACCAAGGTGGTATCAGATAAGGCCAAGTAGGGTGCCTCATCCCCACCAGGGAACAAGCCCCACCATTCTGTGGTACAAGCAGAGGCCACAAGAGAAACCAAGTGGGGAACCTGGATTTTTGCCTCCAACTGGTAGTCATAAGTTGGTACCCCTTGCCCTGCCTAAACATTGTCAGAGAAAGCCAGATAAAGCATAAGATTTAAATAAGATCCAGTCTCAGAATGTAATATGAAAATGTCTAGGTTTCAATAGAAAATCATTCATGGAACCAAGAACTAGAAAGATCTCAAATTGAATTTAAAAAGACAATCAACGGATTTCAACACCAATATGACTAGATGACAAAGAATTTAAAGCAGCCATGATAAAAATGTTTCAACTAGTAATTAAGAACATGCTTGAAACAAATTTAAACAATTGAAAGTCTCAGCCAAGAAATAGATCATACAAAGAAGAACAAAATGAAAACTTTTGATCTGAAAAACATAACAACCAAAATAAAAAGCTCAGTAGATGGGTTCAGCACCAAAATGGAACAAGTAGAGGGAAGAATCAATGAACTGAGAGATAGTTCAACAGAAATTACCCACTTTGAATAACAGAGAGAAAATAATGGATAGAGCCTCAGAGACAAATGGGATGATAACAAAAGATCTAACATTCATATCATCAGCATCCTAGAAGGAGATGATAAAAGAGGTCAAGACTGAAAAAGTATTCAAAGAAATAACAGCTGACTACTTTCCAAATTTACTTAGAGACATAATCCTATACATTTCAAGAAACTGAATGAACCCTAAACAAGATAAATCCAAAGAAATCCATACCAAGACATATAATTAAACTTCTGAAAATGAAAGACATAGAAAAAATATCTTGAAAGCAAAGACAGACAAATGATACTTTATTTATAAGAAGAAAAAGAAAGCAATCTGAATGACAGCAGGTTTCATATCAGAAACCATAGCAAGAAAGAAGTGGCACAGTATTTTTCAGATGTTGAAAGAAAAAAACTGTCAATCTGGAATCCCACACCCACCAAAAGTATCCTTCAGGACTGAAGAGGAAATCAAGGTATTTTCAGATGAAGGAAAACTTAAAAAATCTGTCAAAAGATCTACCCTAAAAGAATAGTTAAAGCAACTTCTCTAAATATAGAAAAAAACAATAAAAGAAGGAAACTTGGAACATCAGAGTACTAGCCAGGGTTCTCCAAAGAGACAGAACCAATGGTTATATATGAGAGGGGATTTATTAGGGGGAATTAGCTCACATGATCACAGAGGCAAAGTCCCCCAATAGGCCATCTGAATGCTGGAGGACCAGGGAAGCTGGTAGCATGGCTCAGTTCAAGTCTGGAAGCCTCAGAACCAGGGAAGCTGAAAGTGCACCCCCCAGTCTAAGTCCAAAAGCCTGAGAGCTCCCAAGAGGCCACTGGTGCAATTCTCATAGTTCAAAAGCCCAAGAACCAGGAGTCTGATGTCCAAGAGCGGGAGAAAAGATGTCCTGCACCAGAAGAGAGAATGAGAGCAGAAAGAGGAGAATCTTTCTTCTACCTGTTTGTCCTAGCCCAGCCCCTAGCGGATTGAATGGTGCCCACTCACACTGGGGGAAGGTCTTCCTATCTCAGTCCACTAAGTCACATGGCAGTTTCTTTTGGAAACACTCTTAAAAACACACCCAGAAACAACACTTCACCAGCTATCTAGGTATCACTCAATCCAGTCAAGTTGACACTTAAAATTAATAGTTACAATCAGGAAGAAAGAACAGGGCAAGCAAAAATATGGATAAATACAATAGGTTTTCTTTTCTTGAGTTTTCTAAATTATGTCTGAAGATTGAAGCAGGAAATTTAACAATGTCTATTAAAAATTTCAACACTAGTGTGGCTGTAAATGTACATAGAGGAAATATTTAAGACAATTATATTATAAATGGAGGTAAGGCTTCTATACTTCACCTTAACTAGTAAAATGATGTCACCAATGACTGTGATAAGTTATGTCTATATAAAGTAATACAATTAGAGAAACCACTAAAAAGGCTGCAAAAAGAAATGCATTTTAAAACAAATGGAATTCTAACAAATGTTCAAATTACCCATGGGAAGGCAGGAAAAAGTAAAGAAACAAAAAACAAGAACAGAAAACAACAAAAATTGGCATGGCAGAGTGAATTAAAAATCTGACTCAAATACTATCTATAAGAAACTTCCGTCAAATATAAGATAAAAGACAGATTGAAAGTAAAAGGATGCCATGTAAAGATGAATGCAGAGATCTATGAGCCAAAGTATGCCAGATTGCCAGCACACCAGCAGATGCTAGGAGAGGTATGTCCCTCACAGCTCTCAGAAGAAACCAATCTGGCTCACATCTTGAGCTCGAACTTCTGGCCTCCAAAATTCTAAGACGATACATTTCTGTTGTTTAAGCCACTCAGTTTGTGGTACTTTGTCATGGAAGATCTAGCTAACTAATACAGCCCCTATGACGAGGATGCAATGATAGCCTACAGACTAGAAGAAAATATATGCAAACCACATATTCAACAATGGAGTAGTATCTAGACCAGGCTTCCTCAAACTACAGCCCGCGGGCCCACATTGTGCACTCTCCAACGGTCTGAGGGACAGTGAACTGGCCCCCTGTTTAAAAAGTTTGAGGACCCCTGATCTAGACTATACAAGGAATATCAAAACTCAAGAGTAAAAAAGCAAACACTCCAATTAGAATATGGGCAAAAAACAGAGATATTTCACTGAAGAAGATATACAGATGGCAAATAAACATATAAAAGATGTTCATCATCATTAACCATTAGAGAAATGCAAATTAAAACCACCATGAGATGCCGACACACATCTTTAAGAATGGCTCAAATAAAATACAGTGGTAACACCAAAAGCTGGTGAGGATGCAGAGAAACTAAATGACTCATACATAGCTAGTGGAAATGTAAAGTGGACCAGTCACTCTGGAAAACAGTTTGAAGTTTCTTTAAAAAAAACAAACAAACAAAAAACCCCTACAAAACTGAACATGCAATTACCAGATGACCCAGCAACTGTACTCCAAATCTGTACACAAATGTGTATAGCAGCTTTGTTTGTAACAGCAAAAAAACTAGAAACAATCTTGATGTCTTTCAACCAGTCAATAGTTAAATAAACTGTGGTATATCCACACCATGGCATACTACTCAGCAATAAAAGGTAAAGAACTAATAATACACACAAGATGGATGAATCTCCAGTCAATGTTAAATAAACTGTGGTACATCCATACCATGGCATACTCAGCAATAAAAGGGAAAGAACTAATAATACAAGTTGGATGAATCTCCAGTAAACTGGACTGAGTGAACAAAGTTAATCCCAAAAGATACTGTACTGTTATTACTGTATTATTCCATTTATATTTCATACTGTATTATTCCATTTATATAACAGTCTTGAAATGACAAAACTGCAGAAATGAAGAATGCCAGGGGTTAAGGAGGGGGTAGAGGCAGAGTGGGAAGTAGGTATGGCTAGAAGAGTAACATAAAGCATCTTTGTGCTGAAGGAAATGTTCTGTATGTTGATTGGATCAATGTTAATCGGTTGTGATACCATACTATAGTTTTACAGGATGTTACCATTGAGGGAAACTGGAGAAAGGGTAAATAGGGTAAATGGGATCTTGCTACATTATTTCTTACAACTGCATATGAATCTATAATTATGTCAAAATAAAAAGTTTAGGTATTTTTTTTTTAAAAAGAAAGTACACAGAACAGCAGCAATGAAAATCAATGAACTATTGCTACATAATGGTGAGCAATAGAAGCCAAACACATAACTAAAAGTACATGCTGTATTATTCCATTTATGTGACGCTCCAACCTGGGCAATATTAAATTCTTTGTTAGAAGCAAAGATAGTAATTGCTGTTGGGAAGGAGAGCTCTAGATTTCCAAGCTCAGCTCTGTTAGTTCATTCATGAATTCATTTAACAGCTATTTATTGAGCATATGCACTGTGCCAGGTGTTGCTCTACTTGTTGGGCACACACTTGTGAACAACGGAGTATATGCCTTTGGGAATGGAGAAGGTGAATGAACACTGAAGAGGCCATTAAAAAATAAAGCCACTCATGGTGGCTCAAGCCTATAGTCCAGCTAGTCAGGAGGCTGAGACTGAAGGATCGCTTGAGCCCAGGAGATCAAGGCTACAGTGAGCTATGATCATGCCACACTGCACTCCAGCCTTGGCAACAGAGCAAGACCCTGTCTCTAAGAAAATAATAATAAAAAATAAATAAGGAGCGCGGAGGTGCATGTCTGTAGTTCCAGCTGCTTGAGAGGCTGAGGCAGGAGGATTGCTTGAACCCAACCTGGGTAACATAGCAAGACCCCTCTCTAAACAAGAAAAAAAAAATTTAAATAAACAAGTAAAACAAAACAGGTTACTACACAGACTGATGATGATGTCGTGCCATGAACTGGCTAAGTGTAATTAAGTTAACGCTCTTCAACTGGTGTTTACAAAAGAAAAAAAGGGAGGAAGAAAGAAGATGTTCCTCATGGATCTTACACTCTTATGAAAAATAAGGACAACAGGCAAATAGACACGTAATGTCAGCTAGTGACAAATTCTACAAAAGAAAATAAAGCAGCAGCTTCCTCTATAGGGGAAATCAGAAGTTAAATAATTCCAACCCATCATTTTATTAGAACTTTACAAAGCTCTCTTAAGTATGGCCCTTTCAACCTCATTCTGGCCCTTCCACAAGCCAAAGCGAATACAGAAAACCCGGGCCTCGGGGGAACATAGAACGCACACCTCACTCAAAGCGTGGGCAGACACTGTGGGAGAGAATTTCTAAACTACGGGGCGTAGAGGGGCTGCGGGATCAAATAGGGAACTGGTAAAGCGGATTCAGCAATTACCACTCCAAAGCACCAATCCGAAAACCAGCCCCAGAGTCTAATCTAGGGGGCATTTGTGCAGCACCTTCATGTCCATTATTTCATTTTTTCCCTCTCACTTGCCTGTCAGGGCAGTGTTGATTTTGTTTCTGCTTTTAAAAAGCTCAGAAAGGTGCAACGATTTGCTCAGCGTTACACAGAAAACTAATGGCAGAGTTGTGGCTCCAAATCAGTGTCAATTTGTTCCTAATTCCTGCTGCGTCCATAGTGTCGGAGACAAAGAGTCGCCTCACGCCGTCCCCACCCCGCCAGTTTACCTTCAGCAGACTCTGGAGCGCTGCAAAATGCTCCGCCGTCAGGGCAGCCATCTTCCCGAATCACGTGACCGCGGCTCGTGGAGAAGCGCGGTCACGTGACCAGGCCGCCAGCGCGGGGCATGCCGGGGGCTGTAGTCCTTCAAGGTGGAGGACGCCGTTTGGGTTGTGGCGCTGAAGGCGAGGGAGGGAGAAAGAAGGGCGCGGCCGGATGGCTAAACGCGGGGACGCTATGACTGAGGGCCTGGGAGGACGCGGGCGGAGACTGGCTTTCAGGGGGAGGAAACTTGTCTACTTGTCTCTTTCAGGCTTGACTTGTCTACTTAACAGGTCCGGGAAATTCTGGTTTTCCCTTGACCCATGTGAGTGGGCTGGCTGGTTTGGGGGATGCACCTACCGTGCTTGGAATTACAATGAAGTTGTACATACTGGAATTCTTGTAATTTACACGCACGCATCCTATTTTGAATACAAAATCACTTTTGCACATATAGTTTCCTTTCTGTCTATGGAGTAGGCAGGAGCTGGTATTATTAGCCTTATCCAGATTGGGAAACGGAATCATTTAGGGTTTTTAATCAACTTTCCTGTAGGCCTAAGGGAGATCTGATTTGAAGAACAGGTAAAGAAGTGTTTAGGAGAGGAGCTAGGAAGGGGAACGAATGAAAGCTATTATCCAGCTAGGTTCTCCTTAACACCCATGTCAGGCGTGAAATGTGGGAGGTGGTTGATGGAAATGATTTAATTCTTTTATTCAACAAGGTAATTATAATGAATGTAACACGTGGGTTTGAAAGGGCAGTACTGGGCTCTGATTTGCTCAGTGCTCAAAGGTTCTACCTCAAATAGACTGAAATTGTAAAGTCCTATAATTTAGTCTTTAAGGAACCATTTGCCCCCCTGCTGTCCACCCCATAGCCCCACCCAGCATCTGGCATTTCCCTCCTCCATGCAATCGAGTATTTGGTTGGCTCTTTGCTGTCCATTCCACTTCCTCAGCCAATTCTGGCTTGAGAAATGGGAGCTGACAAATTCAAGCTTAAGAAAGAATGTCTACTTGTGAAATTCCAGACATTGATAAGCTGCTAAGGACATTTGCTCCTCTGCCTCCTACCCTTCTCTCTCCTCCTTTCCCCACATCTTCTGTGGGGATGTTGTCAAAGCCCAGGAAAACAAAAATCAGGTTGTCTAAGGATGAACCCATGTCTGGACTAGAAGGTTTTAGAACCATATTGTCACAGAGTCCTGATTCCAGCTCTTTTTCTTGGCCTCTCTCTCTTTTCCAAGAACCCACATAGCCTGGTTCTTGTTTTCTGGCATAACTTACTGTAAGCTCTAGGTTTAATTCCTGCCTGTATCCATAGGGCTGGGCCCAATGCCTTGGATGAATTGAATGTTTGTTAAATAAACAACCACCCCCCAAAAGTGACTAGACTAAGATTAATTTCTGTGACTTTTCTGAGGGGATATTGCTTTGTTATTTGCAGGACTGTGGCTTCTTGTCTTACTTTAGAAGATGGGGAGTATGGTCACCAGCCTCCAAGATGGCCCTCAGTGATCCCTGCCTTCTGGTATTCACACCCTAGTGTATACCCTCACCCCCACCTTGTGCTAGATTGGTCTGTATAATCAATAGCAGATGGCAGAAGTGATGGTATATCTCTTTAGAGACTAGGTTATAAAAGACTGCACCAAAACCCAAACAAAACACTGAAATGCCTGTCTCCTGTCTTGAGTGCTTTCTTTTTTGCCTTCTCTTTTTCACTTGAATTTCTTGCTCTGGGAAAAGCAAGCTGTTGTGTTGTCATCAATACTATGGAGAGGCCCACGTGGCAATAAACTGAAGCCTCCGTCCAACAACCTCATTACCCAACTTAGAAAAAGATTCTCCAGACCTGGTAGAGCCTTAAGATGGCAGTAGCCTTGGCCAACCGCCAACAGCTTGGCTGCAGCCTCATGAGAGATTCCAAGCCAGAACCACCCAGCTAAGCCATTCATTGGTTTCTGGCCTTCAAATACTGTATAAGGTTATAAATGTTTGTTGTTTTAAGCTAGTAAATTTGGTATAAGTTGTTACGTAGCAATAGTAACTAATGCACAGGGGCAATAGCATAGTGGCTTTAGAATTCAACCAAAGTTGGAATCCAGTTCTACACACTATTAACCTCGTACAAATTCTTGAACATCTCTGAGCCTCAGTTTCCATATCTGTAAAATGGTGTTGATCACACCTACTTCAGAGAGCAGGGCTGAGTGACAGGTGCTGCCCCAGTGGGAGGATCTCCCAGCTTGCCTTGCCTTTGTGGGCAGATGTGATATGAGGGGATCCCAAGGGCTTCAGCCTACACCCCTGCACCATGTCATCCCATTTTCGTAGGGCTGCCCAGATTGCCAGTGCCAGGTTGCATGTAAAGGTTTGTCTGTGGGCCGGAGAGCTTCCAGCGATTCCTAAACCATAAACATTGTCATGGGAAGGAAAACAGAACAGAATGTCAGAGTTCATTTCCATGATTTGGTCCCTCTTTCTGGTTTCTGTTAGGTCTAATCTGATTTATTTCCAGTGCTGACAATAGAAATCAGTGCTTACTTTCATTTAATTAATAAACTTGGTATGTGCCAGGCTCTGTTCTCAGCCTCTTACACTTTTGATTTATTTGCTTCCCATCACTGTCCTTTGATATATAATATGTATATACACACATATATGTATATAAGCACACACACTATATTATTATTTTCCCATTTTACATATGGAGAAACTGAGACAGAGAACTTAAGTAACTTGCCCGAGGTCACACAGCTAAGTCGTGATTGAGCTCAGATTCAAACTTGGACAATCTGGCTCCTTAGTCTGTGCTGTTAATCATCAAGTTGTTCATATCTCCTTGTACCATAGCTGAAAACTCATGTCTCTTCTGTTTAGATGTCTGATTGCCTTCCTCGGGGGGCAAGAACAAGCTAAGGATGTTTCTAGATAATCAACATAGTGTTAGTGAAAGATAATATGAATTGAAGGGATATCTTGGGGTTTGGAGAAGACCCAGGTTCAGTTCCTGGCTCTTGTGTGCTGCTGGCAACCTACTTGACATCTCAGAACCTCCGTTTCATCATCTGCAAAATGGGAATAACAATAATAAAAAATACTTTTTGACCATTAGGGGGAGCTAAAGGATGAGTTATACAGTATGTGAATATGTTTATCCATTTAACAGTTGATAGACCTTTGGGTTGTTTCCAACTTTGGGCTATTATGAATAATACTATTTTGAGTAGTCATGCACAAAGGTTTTGTGTGGACATATGTTTCATTTATTTTAGAGTATATACCCAGGAGTGTAATTGTTGGGTCATATGATAACTCTATATTTAATTTTTGACAAACTAACAGACCATTTCCAAAGTGACTGCACCGTTTTATAATACACCAGTGATGTATGAAGCTTCCAATTTTTCCACATTCTCACCATCACTTGTTATTATCTGTCTTTTTGATTATGGTCATCCTAGTGGGTGTGAAGTCATATCTCATGAGCAGTCTTATTTTGAAGTTATATTTGTATAGCAAGCACATTTTGTTATTTAGAATATTTATGTTCATTCGAGATAACTTATGGAGGTTAAGGGAGCTTAAACAAATCCCATTCTCTCCTCTTTGGTCCTTTAGGGAAAGCACTCATCACCCCTCCCCTTTTCCCTGGTTTCCCTTGTCATCACCCCCATCTCATGGACCCAGTTGAGGGTGGGCTGCAGGAGGAAGAGGCTTCTCAATCTTTTTTTTTTTTATTAAGAGCTAGTAGAGGCTTCTCAATCTTTTTGACCTACTGCCCCTGCTCTAGGTCAAAGAGCCACTTTGAAGTGGCCTGATCAGCTTACCAGGTATCTTAGTCCATATGAGCTGCTGTAACAAAATGACATAAACTGGGTAGCTTATTAACAATAGAAATGTATTACAGTTCTAGAGGCTGGGAAGTCCAAGATCAAGTCACCAGCGATTAGATGTCTGATGAGGGCCATTTCCTCGTTCATAGATGGCACCTTCTCACTGTGCCCTCACCTGGCAGAAGTGGGTGAGGGAATTCTCTGGGACCTCTTTCATAAGGACACTAATCCCATTTAGGAGGGCTCCACCCTCATAACCCAATCACCTCCCAAAGGTCCCACCTCCCAATACCATCACCCGAGGGGTGAGAAATTTCAACATCTGAATTTGTGGGGGACACAAACACTCACAGCATAGCATCAGGAGACTTCAGGTAAGTTGGGGGACAACAAAAGCCTATAGTGTCAACAGGGATGCACTGGCTTGGAAATGCTATCTGTGTCCAGATCAGGCATCATAAGCTATGTGGCTTGGGGCTTACCCTGCACTAACAATGGCATGTTTGGTCCACAGTGTTTCTAAATTGGGAAATTTGACTGAAACATCCAGAGTTCTGGCTTTTCTTTAAAAATTGGCAGGCCTAGCTGTGTTGTTCCTACCTTTCTATGTTGCAGCTGCTGGCTGCAGCTAAGCCCTGGCTGCCTCCGAACACTGGCCTGGGCTCCCGGATTCCCCACAATCTCCACCACTCACTGTTGCATCCCAGTGGGGCCTCTCCACACACGTCACCTGTCTCATCCCTGAGCGTATTTATTCGTGCCCAACTCCCCCAGGGACCTAATGGAGTAAATGTAGGCCATAGTAGGTAGCAGGGCTGAACATGGGTACTTGGGATCCAGGGTTTCCAGACATTTCCATGCCATCTCCTCACAAGTCTGAGCAAGTTGCAGATGTAATGTGTTATTCATAGTTCTTGATCACTTTTTGTGGGCCAACTACTGTTCTAACAGTTTTACATTCATTAAGTCATTGAATCCTTGCAGGAAGCTGCACAGCAATAATCCCAGTTTGCAGATGGGAAAACGAACACTCAGAAAACACTTGCTCACAGTCCACATGTAATAGTGGCAGAGCCAGGATTTGCAGGCATGAGCAAATAAAGGCGTTTTGCAAGCTTGCTCATAGCACAGCGTCTGGCTCATTATGGGTGTTCAGTGGGTGCAACCTATGTAGTGATTCACGTGCCTTTATAACTGCT